CGGTTGAATGTTGTGGCGCTTGGCAATGTACTGTCAACGTATGATGGCCCTGCGAAATTTGCTTGTATTCTTGATGGTGATATTTCTGGTAGCGTCTGAGTGGGTTGAAGAGTAACCCTTGATAAAGTTTGATCTAACATGTTCTGCATGAGATTCTGTTGCTCGCGCAACATGATGTTACGTTGCTCGTGCAACATATTCTGCATAGCCAAAGTTTGCTGATTGTTCAATTGTTGAACATAAGACACCCAATCGGCGGGTGGTTGGGGGACCTCCCCTAGATTTGGCATGACATGTGGTGAAATATTTTCTCCCACTGGTGCTGAAGATGATTGAGGTTGTGAGTCTGGCATATTGATCTTTTTGATGATTCGGCCGGACTTCAGTCGTATGAAATTCTTTGTTGATATAGTATCAGCAATCTTGTCTTTCTCCCACTATGGTCGCCAATTTGTTGATGCAATTTTTCAACAATAGAAAAGTAAAATCCGAAAATAAGAAATTATCTCCGAATTTGATATAATTAGTGCCTGAGATTAGGAATCTCTAAACACTGTATGGTACATAAGTAAACTGGAAAATAAATGCTACAGACTGAAAATTAATGGGTGATCCCCGAATCACTGACTTTGCTGTTGTTTGAAGATGATTGAAGATACCCTGTTAGTTGCTGACCCCAATCCTCAAATATTCCTCATAAATGATACCTGGAACCGTCGCCCGAACGGTTACAACACCTACTCTCAACCGTCTACTAATTCCTCTTTTGTTGACACGTGTTTTCAACCGTCTTACCAGCCGCATAACCCAACCGACCAAACTACTGTTCTCTCACTCGATCTCCGCGCAGCTGACCTCCACAGCAGCCGACTTGCTCATCCAACTGCAGACCATCCGACCTGCTTATCCGACTACGGATCATCCGACCGCGGACCTTCCGACCTGCCTATTTGCCGACAGATTCTCCGTCGTGCCTATCCAACCGCGGACCTTCCGACCTGCTTATCAGACCGCGGACCTTCCGACCTGCTTATCCGACCGCGGACCTTCAGACCCCCTTATCCGACTGCGGACCAACCGACCTGCCTGTCCAACCGCGGACTTTCCGACCTGCCTATCTGACCGCGGATCTTCCGACCTGCTTATCCGACTGCGGACCAACCGACCTTCCTGTCTGACCGCGGACTTTCCGACCTGCCTATCCGACCGCGGACCTTCCGACCTGCCTATCCGATTGCGGACCAACCGACCTGCCTGTCACCGCGGACCTTCCGACCCGCTTATCCGCTCGGAAGGACAGCCGATCTAACCAATCACCCCGAAAATCCCTTAACTGCCAAACATACTCGATTACAGGCCCAAATTTCCCTATATCTTGGGCCTTTAACCTAATTATAAAATTCGTACTTAACAATCTGATTTATATATCATGTCAATTGAAATTACATATCATCTATATATACATAATGGTGAAGAAACCTTGTATTTTAGAAAACATAAAGTCGACTTTATCCCGTTATAATAAATAATCCGCGAGTTAATAAAATTCATCCTAATGTATTTATTTGGACATCAAATTGAGTAAATTACATAAAAGGAGGATATTTCACAATAAAATATTATAATAATATTATAGAGATATCATTTGTATACTTTATACATCATTATATTTTGACTATGTACGATTTTGGAAATTAATTATTCTAAAATATTTTTTATTTTATTTAGAATTAACTTAATTCCGAATATATCAAAGATAGTTTGAGATAATTTTTTCTAATTATTTTTTTTTTAATTAAAGATCCTTAATAAATTTTTTAAATTATCAAAAGACCTCTAGTTATACTCAACCATTGAATTGCCAATAAAAAGATCAAATGAATTAAAAAAAAAAAAAAGAAATCAGAATGCGAGGAATCCAAAAGTTTTTTAATTACTGAATTCTTACTTTTTATTAATAGATATAATATATATTATATATTATACTTTTTAATAATATTAATAAAAAATTGTGTTGAAAAAAACAATCAAATGAATACACCAAACTTTCTAACACAACTTCCTTAATAATCATGTCCAAAGGAAAATGACATTTCAGTCTTATCAATGGATTCAAGAATATAAGTATAAATTAATATTTATAAAAAGTTTCCATCGAATCACAGCCATGAATAACAGTAGTAAATTTGTTTAATATATGATTTTAATTATATATATTAAAAATTATAAAGAACACGATATTTCTACCATAGAATTTCATGAGCAATTACTACCATAGAATTTCATCTAGATACACAATAAGCATCAAGAAATCTCAAATAGGAAGTAGTCTTCTTAAGCCAATCGATATACACGCACCATCAAGATCCTGAGGCACCCTAATAAGTAAGATGTTTGCAGCTAAGCCAGAACATTTGAACAATAGCATATATGCAATCCATCACAAGAGCTAAGAGATAGTTAAAAATAACGGAGGAAGTTCGCAAGATCATTTTGAATGATCTGACCGTACATAGTGAATGAAATCACAAGGGTTTCGTATATGCTTCCTCAATGTAAGCTGAGGCTTCCTCCTCCGAGAGATGCTTTCCTTCTGCCAGCCCTTTAATAAGAGTGTTACCATATTCTTTGCATGGTGGCTTTATAGGCAACGTGCCAGATTTGAAGCTCTCGATGTCAGAAAGGGAGCACCTGAATACATGGCAATGAGAGACAATGTCACAACAGCCCAAATTTGTGAAAGCAAATGGAACAAAAGAATGTCGAAAGAATAAGCTTACGTCATTGTGAGAACTGGAATATCTTTCTCAAGACCTAAATAGACGACATTATGGTACCAGCCCCTCTGTGTGAAAGAGAAGGTAACATGGGAATTGGAAATGGAGATGATGACATGGGATATGTAGAAAATGAAAGATTTTTGAGATAACTTTGACCATTCAAATATTAAGGACCATTTTTATTTATGCTAAAAAGACTTTCAAATAAACAGACGGTTAGGGAGTATTGGACTGTATATCCTTCCCATATGTGTCTTCTTGATGATGTTAGAATTGAAATGCCCTGTAATTACTTCAATAGCACCGAATATTTTGCAAGAATCAAACTCTAATTCTATTGTGTTCTATTTATATCTTCATTCTACTTTACGCTGATCTATTAAACTTATTACTTAAGATGGCATTGACTGGTAGAAGTACCGTTATTTTAGCAACATAAAATTGCATGAGAAAAAATGTATTTAGTGCTCATGCTCTGACAGTATGCTACATGTTTTCTGTTTTATAATAAAGACTTCTGTCTACAATAAAGGTCACAAATAATTAGGAAAAATTGCAAAAAATATCTGGATACCCCATTATCACTTTTGTCCTATATTTATCTCGCTGACAAAAATATATTCTATATGTTTGCAAAATTTGTTATTTCTATCATTTGGTAGTACGTGATGTTCATACCACACGCGCGGTCACGAGCGATCATGCGAGACCAAAGGATAGAAATAACAATTTTTGCAAACATGTATGATATATATTTTGCGGTGATAATGAGGTATACATGTGGATATTCTTTGCAATTTTCTCCAAATAATTAATAAAAGTTAACATATATGACAAGACTCTTCCAATGTGCAGCAGGATACCAGTTTAACATAATAAAATTTTGGAGGGAATAATTTCTTTGGTTTTATTATTATTTCTGATCCATACACTTAATCAGAAAAAATTAAGTTGTAATTTCTACAACCTAAATTAGGATATCATAAAAGTAATTATGATACTAAAAGAAGTAGACTGCCAGTGCATTAATTTGCTCAGGTTAATGTACATGAAAACAAGGAACGAATATTTCGAAAGTCTTTCAATACATACATACCTTGGGAGTCTCCACTGAGATGGATGTTTCACTTTTAATCCTGTCCAATGCAGTCATATCAAATGTAGGATGGCTCGAATGGTGGCTTGAACCATTTTCCTGAAGCAGCACATCATTAAACTGCTCCAGCCTGATACAGAAATAAGAGAACAAATAGGACAAATGCCAGGATTCCAAGTAGCTTGTAGAGGCAAAATTTCATTTTAGAACAGCAGTATTTAGCCCTAGATCGTACTCTTTCTTAATCAAAAATTTCCATTTAGGACAGATATCAAGTTGAAATTTACTGTAACTTCCCAATAGTTATCAATCTGATCAAGCTTGATAAATATAAACAATAATTACAAATAATGCTTTTATATATGGATTTCTAATTATTCCCACATGATATCAAAATTTATCATATGGCGAGAAGTAAAAATTACCAAGACACTTCCTGCAATGACATAGGAGAATTCAGGATTGATTTACATACGTAATTTTGTAGAGGCACAAGTAAGCTTTCTCATTAGAATTGCTTTCAGGATGTAGAAAAGCAACACCTCCAGGACCCCATGTAGAAGTGTAATCACGACCAAAGAATAATCGATGTGGGTAAGTCTTCCACATAATCTCAACAGGCTTGCTTCTGTCCATCGAACCCACACATGGCCTCTTCATTCCTTCTGTCTGAAAGTAATTCCAAAAAGATTGTGAAGAAACAAAATTCAACAAATATGAGAATTTCAATGTTATCGAGAACGCCTGTTCATTTAGATTGTTGAATGCAGGAAGAGCAACTCTACCTGCCCGCCTTCAATGTAACAGAGAAACCTTGCCATGCTCATATTTGATCCAAATGCAGCATACCAAATGTAGACTTTCTGAAGCTCTAATCTCAACGATGGAAGAACAATAGTAGCTTGATCCACATTCAGCCAGAGATTTAATAAGAAAAAATGGCTTTCTGGCCAGAAAGAAATTTCAACAGCTGTTACCTTGAGAATCTTCATCAACTTTGAGGCTGCTAAAAGGTTTTATAATATCTTCGAGAGTCTGAACCACGTCCAGTATAGTTGCAGTTCCATTTTCAGGCTCACCATCCGAATCAGAACTAGGAATCTACATGAAATAATGTATTAGAAGAATGAAACTAACAAAGATTAGATATAATGTGTTTTGATACTGGATAGTTGAATCCCAAAAATTTACTAGAAAAAGAGTAATTATCACTTCATGGAACTTGAGTTCACAAAGTAACTACTTCACCGATATGAGATCAATCATAGTTAAAGCCATGGGAAGTTATTCAACTTTAGGGTTGATGCAATCAGAGCTACATCTTGTTTCTTACTGTTATATATTTAAATATTTTAGGGTTTCATCGGACCTATAACTGTATTCTAACGTTTGGGCCCACCGATAAACCCAAAAAAAGAAAGTAGACCTTCGAACATCTATTGAAGGAAAAGGTCAATCGCTTGGTTGATTGATTGGTCAGTCGCTTGGTTGGTCAGTTGGTCAGTCGTTTGGTTGGTCGGTTGGTCAGTCGGTAGCTTGCCTAGTCAGCTGTCCAATCGGTAGTTTGTCCGGTCGGTTGGTCAGTCAGTAGCTCGTCTAACCGATTAGTTTGTCCGCAGCTTGTGTGGTCGGCTGGTCTGTCCATAATCTGTCTGCTCGGCTGGTCGGGTGGTGGCATGGAATGCAACCGAAAAGCAGTTCTTCAGGCACTTGCAACCGCGAGGGGGTTTTCGTCAGTTACAACCGACCGCGCACACGATCCGATAACTGACTTGGAGGGCATATAACAAACAATTCACATCCAGCAGAGGGCATCTTCAATCAGCATCAATTTTAGTGAAATTTGCGTTGGGGATCATCTTTTATTTTCTTTTCAGTATCTTTTGCTTTAAATTTTCTTGCATTTTGTACGGTATCCAGGGATTTTCAATTTCAGATGTTATTGTAGTCAAATTCGAATTTATCTTCGAATTTTACTTTTTATTATTGTTGAAAACAGCATCAACACTTACTCTTTAAAATTATCAACTTACTTTCAAATAATACACAATAGCCCAATGAAAGTTTATCGGTTTGGAATTCCACATACTCTCATCACTGACCAGGGTCTGATGTTCACAGGAGAAGAGTTTATTGAATTTTTGGCAAGTTTTCACGTGAAACTTCACCATTCATCACCTTACTATCCACAGGCCAACGGGCAGGCTGCTGAGGCAGCAAACAAGATCATTATCAATATCATTCGGAAAATGATAGAAGGAAATTCCAGGAAGTGGCATACGTTGCTGCCTCAGGCTTTATGGGCTCACCGGAACAGTAAGAGTTCGTCCACGGGATTCTCTCCTTATCATCTCACATTCGGTCAGGACACCATACTTCCAGCCAAACTCAACGTACACACTTTCCGAGTTGCTCATACTAGCATAGACCACACGATGGAATGTCAGCAAAGTATGATGCAACAACTGAAGACGGTGGATACAGAACGTATGGAAGCCTTGGAACAAATAATCCGGTAGAACGAAGTACGGGCGCGATATTATGGAAAGAAGGTGTCTTATCGAACTTTTTCGGAAAGAGATCTAGTACGGAAAACAATATTACCCACGTACAAGAAGGTTGATCAATTGGGTAAATGGCCCCCGAATTGGGAGGGGCCTTTCATCATTTACAGAAAGATCGGGAATGGAGTTTTTATTATTGTGAATCAGGAAGGAAAATTAGTACATGAAAATATTAATGTTCCTGCCTTTTCAGAGCACTGTCGTTAATTTTTATTACAGTAAATCTAAGAATCCTCATAGGGAAGGGTTTTATTTGTCATCCGAAATGGTGACACAAACATGATCATCTTCTGGTTCAGAATCTTCGTCCCAATTGGCAGTAACCACTTCGGGTTCCTCGTCAATGAGATCTTCGAGGTTGTGATGATAGAGATCCCACTGGTCTTGCATTTCTTAAAGGTCTTGTTCGGTAAGGTCAGGAAGAACCGCCATGACATGATGATCTATCAAGGTCTGATATGCGGGTGAGAATGTCGGTGAGGGGTTCATAGCCGATGGACACACGTTCCATCAGGCGAATTGTACGATGTATGATTTTCGTACCCCTGCCAGGAAATTTGAATCTAAAATCAAGTTGTTTGAGCACTTGTATTAGGTCTTCAGCATGGGGTGTTTGCCAACTAAGAATGGTTGCAAGGAACTTTCCCAATTGGTGGAAGGAATACGGATTCGGGGAGAAGCCATGTGCTAAAAGGTTCGAAGGTTTGTTGTGATTTGTTTTTTTTTAGGTTTTTTTTAAATAGGTAATTCCTATTTTAATTATGTGGTGCAAATTCATGGATCAGTGATCGGAAAATAGGATAAAATTAAGGTTCGAGGTTACATTTATATATACAAGGTTTGACATTGTCTACATCTACAAAAGGAGGGCTTTAAGGGCGATTACTATGTCCGCCCATTTTTGCTCAGATCGGGCCGTCCTCCGTTGTAGGAAGGCCATCTGGTGTTTTTGTACAATCCTCGACCGAATGCTTGCTTGCAGTTGGCCATGGAGGCTTGCTTGGGTCTGGCGATGTTCCGTCACCAGGCGACCTTCCTCTTGAATGCATTTGTCTAGAGTCTCCAGCTCTTTTTGAAGGTCTTCAAGTTCTTTCATCTTCTGGGAAATTTTGGCGGCCAAATTGTGTCGCTCGTGCTGGAGCTCACTCAACTGAGTAGAGGCTGCATCAAGGTCTTCCGTCACTCTTGTCAGGGAAGCCTCAATAGCCGCGGTGTCAGGTGCTGGTTGAGACGGTGCAGTGTCAGATGCTGAAGGTCGGATCAAGGGTAGGTCGGCTTGAAGCTCGATGATCCTCTCTATCATCCGACTGAGTATTGGAGCTACCGCAGACTCGACAGGAGTCTGCACCAGCAAGTCAATGGCCACTTGAGCTAGGGAATCAAAGTCTCCAGGACTCAAGTCGGCGAAAGACAGGTCGGCACAACGCATCACTATCGGTCGAGCAGGGCCCAACAAAGGCACCCTGGTGAGAAAATTGATCTCATGAGTAGCCTGTTAAAAGAAATTGGAGTGATTAGAAAGATATAACTTAAAAGTAATCTAGTGGAGTGATGTGAAAATTACCTGGTGGAGGACGGCCGTGGCCTCGGAAGGGGCCAAGAGAACCGGGGCCAGTGGTGGAGGACCAGGTCGAATCCTCGTCCTGGCAACCGATTCGGCAGCCGCAGAATGGGGACCGACGAAACCTCGCTCCGAAGCCTGAAGGGATAAAAGTTCAAATTAAGAACTGGATTCTAACGTTTAGGCCCGAAGATAAACCCAAAAAACGAAAGTAGGCCTTCAAAAATCTATTGAAGGAAAAGATTAGTCGCTTGGTTGATCGGTTGGTCAGTCGTTTGGTTGGTCGGTTGGTCAGTCGCTTGGTCGGTCGCTTGGTTGGTCGGTTGGTCAGTCGGTAACTTGCCTGGTCGGCTGTCCAATCTGTAGCTTGTCCGGTCGGTTGGTCAGTCAGTAGCTCGTCTAACCAATGAGTTCGTCCGCAGCCTGTCTGGTCGGCTGGTCTGTCCATAGTCTGTCTGGTCGGCTAGTCGGGTGGTGATATTGAATGCAACCGAAAAGCGGTTCTTCAGGGAGTTGAAACCGCGATGAGATTTTCGTCAGTTACAACCGACCGCGCACACGATCCGATAATTGACTTGGAGGGCATATAACAAACAATTTATGTCCGGCAGAGGACATCTTCAATCAGCATTAATTTCAGTGAAATTTGCGTTGGAGATCATCTTTTATTTTCTTTTCAGTATCTTTTGCTTTAAATTTTCTTGCATTTTGTACGGTATCTAGGGATTTTCAATTCCAGATATTCTTGTAGTCAAATTCGAATTTATTTTCGAATTTTACTTTTTATTGTTGGTTGAAAACAGCATCAACACTTACTCTTTAAAATTATCAACTTACTTTCAAATAATACACAATAACCCAATGAAAGTTACAACTCACACGGAAACTTAAGAAACTGACCCACCTCTAAGTGGTTGATTCAAAGTAACGGCTATACATTGCAATCAGAAATCAAGCAAAATTACGGGGGCAGACATTATGAAGATTCAAGCATGCTAAAAGAAATAAAGATCAATTATGATAAGGTAACCCTAAATAAACATATAAAAGATAAGAGTCAGCTATGTACAAAACCAAGAGAATCTACGATAATATGTTAGGATATTCAAAGATGGAGATTTTCTAGGCTATAAAGTAGAATAAGGAACCTTACATCCATTTGAGGTGATGGCTTGCTAAACACCTTGTTGGGTAATTTTGAAGCAATAATTGGCCAATGAGCCCTTAATTCTTGGCGTACCTAAAAGTGAAAAGCATGTCCAAAGCACGAGTTCAAAAGTAGAAAAATCACATCATAAAAAGTTCTAGAATTGTACAAATACTTAATGTAAGTGTGATACTACTTCTTCGATAAACAGGCCAGTACGAAGATTAATTACGAGACAAAATTGAAAATGAAATACTAAAGGTTCTCCATTATTGCCTGATGTATCACCCGCCATGTGGATTCAAAAGGATAAGATTGTGGAGACCCAGCAATAGGACTATCTCCAAGTAACACTCCAACACATGCTTGGACTGAATTTGCTATTGAATCAAGATTGTATCCTCCTTCAAGTGCCATGACAATCTTTCCTCTAGCAAACGGCATCAACTACAAAAAGTCATAGAGAAAACAGAGACATTCATAATAGCAACGTATGACATTTCCAACAAGCTACCAACAAAATATTAACAAATGGAATAAACACTTCGAGAAGAATCATGAAAATTGCATGAACTTGTGACAGGTACAACTAAATAAGTGGCAAACCTTTTCAAGCATGATTGAGTACCCATATGGAGTCACCCGACATCCCCCTAGAGGATCCCTTATGGCTGCTCAAATTACAAGAGGATATATAAAATTATAAATTAACTTTGTTTCATTCAAAAGCAAAATTGATGTTAATAATAGATTCAGTCCACTTTTTATACCAAAGAAATAAAAACAGATAGACATGTACAACTTCAACTACATAGCTCTGCAAAAGAATATATATGAATGTCTAAATATTTTGTAAGTACATCTTCAAGTAATAATTGGACTTCAAGTAAGAATTGGAAACTTTAGCTAAGAGAAAAGGAATATGCTTGTTTCCAACAAGGGGTAGATATAATTACAAACTTTTCTGTTGTCCCTTGGTACCATTAACAACTAATAATAATAATAAAAAATGCAATTGGATTCTTCAAGTCAGTAAATGTCCTAGCCAAGAACCTTCTAAATCTAAATGAGGGAAATAGACTACAAGGTAGCTTTGTTCAAAAACTAATCAATACTGCATTTTATAACCATAAGCTAGCAATTGAAGGAAGCATTTTGCTTTATAATTTGCAAAAACGCCAATGTTCTCAAACCAATAGCCATCAAACATACTCAAATGTATCTGACCATGGATCATTAAAGTCTATGCTAAATGAAGAGCTGTGTAAAGATTTTATTTGTGCATGCATTTTACTATAATTGTTTGAGATTTAATTGTGGCAAGCAAACTATTTCAAACACAAGTCATTTCACCCACTTGTTAGCTTCAATATAGGCAACCATAAGAACTAAAAAGATACTCTCTCCGTCCGTCTGCAAGAGTTACATTTACCTTTTTAGTGTTGATTTTTTAATATTAATTATTATATCGAAACGTAGTACAAATAAAGGGAAAATGGCAAAAAATACTTCTATTAGTGTCTTATAATACTAATAAAATGACATTTGTATAAAAAATTATAAAAATATAAAGATATTTTTAATGTTAAGTACGATGATGCAAAATGTAAATGTAACTCTTGCAGGCGGACGGAGGGAGTATATAATTAGTTTGTGATGATTTTACTATTAAGTGAGAAATGTCAAATGCTCCTTCCCAAGAACACTGAACTCACAGCCCTAGAGCTACTTGAAACCCATCAAACTACAACAGCATACTTACAAAAGGGCCAAGCCATTATGAATCAGAATTCTTCGAGCCATTAATTTTGTAAACATTACTAAAACAAAGCCCAAAATTAAATATAATTATGATATACATCTTTAATACAAGTATACAACTACTCAATTTTAGAAACTATAGTTTAGGAGGAATGGTGAGAAAAAATTAAAAAAGAATGAACGAACCAAAGAAAAAAATCAAAAAGGCATTATCAAGAGTTCACATAGAAAATTATAGCAAAAGTATAAAATCAGTGTACTTTTTTGTTTCTCTTTTTTTTTTTTTTTCTATTAGATATAAATGAATGATAGAGCACCATAGTTATTACTAGTTAATCTTAGATAGCAACCAAGACCTCTAATGCTATAGTGGGAAAACAAATTGCAGGATGGCCACCACTCAACAATTGTGTAGTACACAATAAATATGTTATATAGAGCAATCATTTCAAACAAAAAATTATATACGGATAGTCACGTAAGATTTAACATAGTATAGTTATTATTGTAGATAGATAATCAAATTTAATTACTTGGTATAGTATTTGATACCACAAGATAGATTGCTCCATGTGAGATGACAAAGAGAGATTTATATAAAGTTTAGAAAAGATGAGCAAATACAGCACTTCCTGCTGGAAGATGAAAAATGAGGGTGGAGTAAATCAAGAAACTGAGGACGAAAGTGGGGGAAATCACATTAAAGAAGTTCAATTAATATTAAATCTGAACCTAAATTACCATTCGATCCTGAGACATAGTAAAGTTGCAGCAGCAATGGACAAGATACTTTGGTAGGGGCGGTTCAGCTGCAAGCTGTTCACCTGCCGACAGTCAGCTAAGGTTTTTCTATGCTGTGAACCGCCCTATTGCCGTCACAACCTCTCATAGAGGACAAACACATGCTGTGCAAACACAGTGGCGGCCAACAGCCATGACCTGCCACCAAGATAGCACCGCTATTGCACGCTTTCAACAACTACGTAGAGCACATAAAAGCAAGTCATGCACCTAGGCAACATGTGCTAAAGTGTGTGCCACCTTCATAAATTCATATTCCATAATGTAAGACTTATATTTTAGCGAAGACCGAGTAATTGAGATATAAGGTAATCTAAGAAGCTAAATACCAAAAAAAGTTTCTATCGATATAAGTTGCTCTCCATCTATAAAACATAAATACAAAATACTGAGTTAATGGGGAACTAATGAGGGATAACATGGGAAATTTATAGTTGAAAATAGAAATGTACCATATTGAAACTCCACTTACTAGAAATCGAAAAAGACCTTGGCCAACACATATTTGTGTAAACATGCACTGCCTGTCTCCATAATGAGATTTCAAACAATAAAGATTGAGGAAACAGTTCCAAAGTTTCTTGCTACGAATAAGAGTGGATGATGTTAGAGAGAAGTTATGTTCAATTTTCTGGAATCCTGGTTATTTTTGTTTTTAAGTGATTGACCAGAGAAATATTGAAGATGAACTATATGGGCATATAAAGGTTCATTGGGAAATCTATTTATGGTGGTTCCTGGTTATTGTGATTAAGAGGAGGCTCCTATTACATGTGGTGATCTTTCTATGAGCAGGTAACCCCAACTTTCCATTTGTAAGGATACTCCCACAAAGCATCTCTAACAGTAATACATTGACCTTAGTATGAACTCTTATAAGGATCTATTTGACAACCCATAATTCTAGAAAAGCGAAAGCGTGATCCTTGTGTTGCAATTTTCTTGTGTCTCATGAGCAAATGTTTCCAAAACTATACAAGTGAACTCAAGCACAATAACTAATATGAGGGTTTTGTCATGGTGTTTCTACTAGCATTTGAATTACATAAAGTATCGATGTTTATGGCATCCTTGTAAATCTTCTGATTACATATTCAGTGTTTCTCTTTCAATGGATAGGTCCTGACAATATATATTAAGAGAGTATATATCGGCATAGTGTTTCAAGACAACAAGTACATCATTCCAATATATTAAGTGCGAACGCAAGCATGCAATAATAAGAAAGAGGAATAATATAAATTAAACAAATTCCATGATACACTCGTTAGGAGGAAGTAAGATAGCAAATGCTTCGCAATTGCTTTCACATGCAGAAAAACATTGATATATGTGTGAAGCATACAGTAAATGTACATAACATAAGCTCAAAGAGATGCAAGAGACGAGCTCTGCAGTTAAATTGCCAAAAATATCTACTAACCTGCATCAAATCCAGCGGAAATCAAAATAATATCTGGATTGAATTCCTTGGCAATGGGTATTAATATGTGATCCCAAACAGCAAGATAGTCAACATCTCCACACCTTCCATTTTCCCATGGAACATTTATATTGTACCCTACACCTGGTCCTTCTCCAATCATGATATATGACCCATTATCACCAGTTGGATAGAATGTCCCAAAGTCATGCCTAATTCCACATTAAATATCAAAATTTTATTAGATCAGTAAAATAAAATTCAAGCAAGAATTGCATAGCCACTAACATGAACAATGATGATTGGTAAGCTGTAATGTTTCAGGCACATTAGAAAGTTTGCATTACTTGCCTATTGTGCTTCCAATTTTTACTTAAGGAAAAAAGTGCCATGCTAAAACCAAGTTAAAGGAAGTTTCTAAATTCATTATCTTTGTATTTTCTTTGTTTTTCTAGGGGTTGGGGGTCACAACACACCACTCACACACAGGTTATCAAATGGAATTGAACCCTCATTCTTTAAGAGTTTATGTAAACTTTTATCGCTACACCATCCCACGAAATTCGAGCTTCTCAGGCCAAATTCAGTAAAATAATGTGGCACAAGTAATGTGTGCAGCAAGGCAATTCCTACATAATTATGTATTGACAAACTCTTCGTCGAGCTCATGGGGACAAAATCTTTATATATGCGGACTATTACAATTTCATGCAGGAAAACATCAAGAACAGATCACAGCCATTTGATGAATACTTAAAAAGTTAGATAGGGGTGAAAATGTAATTCAAAGTGGTGGTCTAATCATCCGAGACAAATTGTACGTTCAGAAATGATGATAGAAAGCAAAATCGGAAAGTGCATGAAGTTATGATTAAAGAGAAAACGAAGTTTTGACAAATGCTTGTGTATTGACGACGGGGATGGGCTTACGCCTGCTGTTCGTGGGTTTAGATATTATTTACTTGCTTTTCTATATTTTGAATTAGGCTTGCCTTTTAGTTATTGGGTTTACTTATTCTATACTTAGTAAGTAGGGTTTAGATAATAGTATTTAAAGAGGAACTAAGGTTTGAGATTATCATTCTGAAAACTTTGGAATAAAGTAGCCGTCAGGTTTTGGGCAAACGGTTGGTACCGTTTGATTGTTCTTGGGCAAACGATTGATATCGTTTGATTTTTCTTATCTTTTATTTTGTTTCTATCAAAAGAGGAGTCAATGGGAAGCATGATCTTAACACAGGCTGTAACACCACGGCTGGCTCAAACCGGAGCGTCACCGCCACGCCACACCGTAAGGCTCGTTCATCAACCAACGAGCCCTACGTTGTAGCGCTAAGCTAAAATAACCATTACAAAATAACTATTTAGAGATTTAGAATTAAAGCGCACCGGTTTATCATTTAAATAAATAATGTTCGAGTAAAAAACATAAGTTGGAAATAGTTCAAAAGATATTAGTTATTAAACATTAATAATAGATTTCAAAAATATTTTAGAAGATGAAGTAGTTATAGTTCCCCCCGATGGATCATATGACGTGGATGCATCATTTAAGTATAACAGAAACATGATCACCTACAAAAAAAGTTGTAAGAAGAGGGTCAACAAAACGGTTGAGTAAGCGCAATTAATCGAAGATAAATTAGTACGGTATAATGCCACAAAATCATTTGAAGAACATAATTTGAATAAGATGACACATATCACATAAGGATAACTCACACACAAGAGTCTTTTAGCGCCTCCCTTATATCCCCTTTTCATTCTCAAATAATAATGATGAGCACATCACGAAGAAAACTCCACTAGGCCTTAATCAGGGCCGGCTCGACCCGGTTTTCCAACCTTATTACTTCATATGAGACGTCACATAGTTTCACATAACAAGCATAGGGTCACAACCCTCAAAGGAAACTCCACAATGTGTACATAAGGGTTCGAAACCCAAAGTACACGAAAATAAATTTATTATTAGTTTGCGAGGGGCACCATACGGCCCACAACCCTCTAGTCTCCAATATAACATACCAAGAGGGGATTGTACGCAATCCATCCCTCCATCACGGATGACGGTCTAAAGACCTTTTCATCGTGAATGACGAGCACCTCGGAATCACCCAAAAAAGGAACCCGCCATCTCGATCCCTCGACCTAGCCCATTCAAGATTTAGTTCAAGGTTAGCTAGTTATCCTAAAATACCGGTATACCCTCACGTGTTTGCAAGGCACAGAGGTGGAAGGCTATGCCTTATCATCCAAACAATCGACGAGTTGATCGGACTCGACGGGTAGTTTTAATTACCAATTTGACCAAATACTCAACATGCTCTTAGGCAAATTTCAAAAAGAGTGTTTTAAACTCAAAATATTCCAATTGTCAACATTTAACCATGCAAAGTAGGATATTAGATCCAACAAGTTCGTTATGATCTCACTTTATTTTGCCAAATAAACATTCGAAAAATATTTCAATCACAATAGGTATGGTCTAACTCCAAAAATCATAATATTTAAATATACTCGTAAATCTTTTTCCAAAAATCATAACTAGGTTAGGGCAAAACTAGGGTTTCAAACCCATCCTATAAATTCCACGATTTTCAATTTAAAATTCAATAATAATCTTCACATAAGCCTTAGATGACATTATAATCAACTTCCTAGAAGAAATTGGTAAAACCTAACACTTTTAGTGCAAACCCATTTGACAATAATTTTGAAAAAGGGTATTAATAGAAAGGGTCTAGGGATTAGAACATATCAATTTATCTAAGATTAATCCCACTTACTTTAAGAAAATAGACCAAAAGGAAGAGTTTTGGTGAAGAAGAATTCCAAAGAAGAAGAGGGGAGGGGACTGGCGGCTCCTGGCTGCTGTGCTGCCTCTGTTATTTTTTTTTTATTTTATTTTATTTTATTTTATACTTTATTAACATAAAATACTTGACACTCTAACTTGAATACGTTATATTTTAACAAACTATGTACGTTATATTTTAACAAACTATGGATACACTATATCTTATGAAATCCACACTGTAGATATGATATATTTAACAAATTATAGATAAAGATACCTAAATTAAGAGATACTGATAAACTAAATCTAGTTTATTATTTATTTTACCCCCAAACTCAATTTTATTCCTAATTTACAGCCAATTCCTTGATTTCTTACACCAAAAGCTCAAAATAAATTAGGCCTAAAATAATATTGTCCGACTCCGGCGTCAAAGTCCGCAAGTTCCGGCAAACTTCCGGCGAGTATTTTTACGGGGTATTACACAGGTCATAGATAGAGCTGACAAAAAATGACCAGAACCACAATTTGATACAAAATAATTGGATTTGAATATAAACTTTCGACTCGATTAGTATACGGATTAACACGCACCCAACACAATAATAAACATGTTGAGTTAGGGTTGAAACTTTCAACTCGAACCCGACATTATAAACCGTTTATAACCCAACACGATAATAAACAAATTAAGTTAGGATTGAGACTTTTAACTCGAACCCGGCACGACAAACCGTTTGACTCATAGAGAAGGGAAAATGTCAGTTGTTTCTTACTTTATTATTTTATATCTAACGTTATTTTAGAAATCTGCCAGTTATTTCTTCATGCTTGTGAATGTATGCTTGCGGTGTGCCATTTTCCACTACTTTTTTTTTATCCTCAACCTTTCCTATACTAAACCATCATTCTTTTTTAATAGTCACTGTAGCAAAAACATAAAGATACTAATAGTGATGTAATACCCCGTAAAATAATCGCCGGAAGTTTGCCGGAGTCGAACAAATTTCATTTTGGGCATAATTTATTTTGGCCTTTTAGTGTAATTAATTAAAGAGTTGGGTTTAAATTAGAATTAAAAATTGAGTTTGGGCCAAAGTAGAATAAAATAATTAATAAAGAACTAAGTATGTTATGTTAAATAAAATAATAAAATAAAAAATAAAAAATAAAATAAAAAAGAGAAAAGAAGGACAGCAACAGCAGCCAGCACAACCGCGCCAGCGCCGCCACCAGCCCAGCCCTACCTTGGAGTTCTTCTTCTCCAAGATTCTTCCTTTTGGTCTTTTCTCTTGAGGTAAGTGGGATTAATCTTAGATAGATTCGTATGTTTAATTCCCTAAACCCCTTCTATTGATATTTTTTTCAATATTCTTGTCAAATGGGTTTGCCCCAAAAGTGTTAGGTTTTGTCAATTTCTTCTAGAAAGTTGATTATAATGTTTATGTGAAGATTATTATTGGATTCTAAATTGAAAAGCGCTGAATTTATGGGATGGGTTTGAAACCCTAGTTTTGCCCTAACCTAGTTATGATTTTTGGAAGATTTACGAGTATATTTAAATATTATGATTTTTGGAGTTACACCATGCCTATTGTGATTGAAATATTTTTCGAATGTTTATTTGACGAAATAAAGTGAAATCATAACGAACTTGTTGGATCTAATATCCTACTTTGCATGGTTAAATGTTGACAATTGGAATATTTTGAGTTTAAAACACTCTTTTTGAAATTTGCCTAAGAGCATGTTGACTATTTGGTCAAATTGGTAATTGAAACTACCCGTCGAGTCCGATCAACTCGTCGATTGTTTGGATGATAAGGCATAGCCTTCCACCTATGTGCCTTGCAAACACGTGAGGGTATACCGGTATTTTAGGATAACTAGCTAACCTTGAACTAGATCCCGAATGGGCTAGGTCGAGGGATCGAGATGGCGGGTTCCCTTTTTGGGTGATTCCGAGGTGCCTGTCATTCACGATGGAAAGGTCTTTAGACCGTCATCCGTGATGGAGGGTTGGATTGCGTACAATCCCCTCTTGGTATGTTATATTGGAGACTAGAGGGTTGTGGGCCGTATGGCGCCCCTCGCCAACTAATAATAAATTGATTTACGTGTACTTTGGATTTCGAACCCTTATGTACACATTGTGGAGTTTCTTTTGAGGGTTATGACCCTATGTTTGTTATGTGAAATTATGTGACGTGTCATACGAAGTAATAAGATTGGAAAACCGGGTCGAGCCGGCCCTGATTAAGGCCTAGTGGAGTTTTCTTCGTGATGTGCTCATCGCTATTATTTGAGAATGAAAATGAGGTATAAGGGAGGCGCTAAAAGACTCGTGTGTGTGAGTTTCCCTTATGTGATACGTGACATTTTATTCGACTATCTTCTTCAAATGATTTTATGGCATTATATCGTATTAATTTATCTTCGATTAATTGCGTTTACTCAACCGTTGTGTTGACCCACTTCTTACGATTCTTTTTGTAGGTGATCATGCTTCCGTTATGCCTAAGTGATGCATTCACGTCATATGATCCATCGGGGAAAATGAGAACTACCTTACAGTCTAAAATGTTTTGAAACTCATTAATTGTGTTTAAAGACTAATGCAATTTGAACTATTTCCAATTTATGTTTTTAAATTGAACTTTATTTACTTAATTGATAAACTAGTGCGCTTTGATTTTAAGTTCCTATTAGTTGTTGGTATTTATTATTTAAGCCTTAGCGCCACAACGTAGGACTCGTTGATTGATGAACGAGCCTTCTGGTGTGGTGTAGCGGTGACGCTCCGGTTTGAGCCGGCCGGGGTGTTACAAGTGACATGTCAACTAAGGAACATGTTAGGGTGTGTTTATTTGTGGATTTTAGTTTTTGGGTTTGCATTTTTGAATAGTAAAAATTTGAATTTGAATAGTTGTTTGATGTGATATAAATAGAGATTGATGTGATATAAATAGAGATTGATGTGATGTTTTGAATGTAAAATAAATTTGTTGTATAATATAGAAAAAGAAAAGTAAATGTTTAATGTGATATTTTTTAAGAGAAAAAAGAATTTATATAGTAAAATCATGTGGTAAGGCCCACAAAAGAACACAACTTTAGTATTTAAAAAGTGTCATGTCATCCATTTTCATTCCATTCCTCTCACATGCATCTTTTAAACTAAACTGTGGACATAAGAGAAACAGAAAGAAAGAGAGTTAATGATTTGAATTAGATTATCATTACCTGTGTACAGAGAAGAACAGTACTCGAGGATCACTGTAAAACATTTTTTGAGTGCCATTTCCATGATGTACATCCCAGTCAACAATCAGGATTTTGTTGATCCCCAAATCCTTCTACAGTATGGAAAGTAGTTAACATAAGAAACTAAAATGCAAGTAAATTACTTCATTCTTACAAATGAAATAATTAAAATTAAGCTAAACGCATCGGATCTTACACGTTCATTCAATAAGAAACTTGCAGCAATAGCAACATTATTGTACAGGCAAAACCCCATTGGTTCATCTACTTCTGCATGATGTCCAGGAGGTCTGACAATAGCAAATGAAGAATCAAGTTGCCCTTCTGCAACTTTCTCTGCGACCTATATTAAAATATGTCATGTGTAACTTCTATGGAAAAAAATGGAACCATAGTGAAAGATATGGCAAGGACATAAAACTATCATAACACCTTCATTCTTTTGAAATATGAATCTCAACTGCAATCCCAAGGGTTGCCTTTCAAATAAACAAAGGGTCAGGTTACAAAGAAATTTTCAAAATCATTATCCCAAGTGGACCTACTGCATCATGATTATTAGGTTGTAAAAATAACGCCAATTTCTTAGCGCATGTATAGAAACCCATCTTACATGATTCATAGGTATTGCAAGATAGTGAATAAAATCGAAGGTTACAAATAGAAACAATGTACCAGCTGGGCTGCCACATCCCAGAAATCTAGAGTTATTTTCTTACCTTTTCAATGAAAAAAGCTACAAGTTCCTGAAAAATAACACAAGTAGAATTTCTGTATGAGTTTCAAGAGCAGTACCTCAATGACAGAACCTGCAGCAAGATAGGCAGCTTCTGATGAACCTTTGGAAAAGTATATGGAGTTATATGATGAAGCAATTCGTCTTCTCCCGGACTGAGTACTTTTGGAGATAGTATTCTTAATTAGATTGATGTGGTTTCTGCTGTGAACCAGAGCTATATGATTGTCCTCCGCATTTTTGGCATCCAAAACAACACATCTGCACAAAGAACAAATAAACTTTGCTGGAGATGGAACTTAAGTCATTCAGATGACCTTTTTAATGCGATCAAAAGCAGTAAATGGAAACAAATAACATTTATCACAGTCTTTTCCTCCACCAAACTTTGCATTCAGCCACCAAAATTGGCGCCGATGATAAATCAAATTTTCAGGAAAATTGGAAAAGGAATAAATAGGAAAAGGATTAGACGCCATTAGCATGTTTCTCAGCAAAAACAATCTAATCCAAAAAAAACCATTGCTCACCAGGGTCATGAAATTCCGTACTCGAGAACTTTTCAAGTACCAAATTAGATGAACGCCACGACGCATTCAACGGAACAACAAACCCACAACTAAGAAACCAAATTGTTTTGACAAGGAACTGCAGAAAGAGACATGAACAAGCAATTCGGTTAGAGAAAAGACCTCTTCGCAAACCCGCAGGACTCCAGGCTCTTCCAAATAGCCCGAATGCGGTCGGGACACTCTGGATGATCCCCATCTTCTGTCGCGTAGTGGCCACACATCCTTTCATCGTATATCAAACCAACGCGGCGATCTTTCCTAGTAGGTGCATTATCACAGCCTCGGCGGCTCAGTGAAGTCTCACTCCCACCACTCGACTCCATCCCCTTTGCTTTCCAGTGCCGGTGCGAATTTTCAAGTTGCGAGAGGTTTCCTCTTCGTCCTCCCTCTGGTAAGTTGGGAATTTGAGATTGCAGGGACGACTCCTCCCCTTTTGTAACTTCTTTGAACTTTTAGCCTTTCTGTAGTCAAATTCAAAAAACACTTGTGTCCTTCCGTATCCTCTCACCAATTTGGGTTAAATTAAATTCCTAAATTTGTTGGGCTGTCGTATTTTATCCCCACTGGCCACTGTTAGGTTCTCCCTGTTTGTCTTTAAAAATACTAGTTATTAATTAAATACTCTATTATTCTATCGGTGTCGAACATGATGTTATAGTTACTATATATATATATATATAAATTATAAAAAATAATAAATAATTATAAATTAAATTAATATACTATACATATTTACAATTTTTATATTTTCTATCAACAGGTTTGGATTTTTAGTTGGGATTTGAATAGTAAAAATTTTGAATTTGAATAGTTGTATGATGTGATATAAATAGGTGTTGATGCTATGTTTTGAATGTAAAATTGATTTTTAATATAATATAAAAACTAAAAAATAGATATTTGATTTTCATATTTTTAGAAAAAAAAAAAATTGAATGAATAATAGGATTTTATCAAAATCCTACAAACAAACACACCTTCGTAATCTCTTTCTGAAAAAAGAGAGTTACATAAAATATAGTAAGGACACAAATGAAAGCAGGTGATCTATATGTTGATGAGAGAGAGTAATTTGTTTATAAATATTTTTTTTTCTCAATTATAATTATTTGAGATTTTTTTATTATCCATTAAATTTATTTATAATAAATATTTATCTATAATTTTTTTTATTTTAATAAATAATAATTAATTTGTCACTATTTATTTTATTTATAAAATTACAATTTTATAAATTTTTTAATAAATTTCATATAATATATAGTTTTTATTTATTGCACTTTTATATTAAAATATTTTTTACTTCGACTCAAAGTACTTTTTTTGTAATAAATTAAACTAATATTTTATTGGTCATTAAAATATATAAAATTGTTACGTATGAAATTTATAATTAAGTATAAAAAATTCAAGTCAAAAGAAAAAATGGGCCTACAATTGGGTTTGTTGGACTGATCGAAGGGTATTGCGAGAAAATCAGGTGAAATAGATGTATTTCTGAGGAAATAGGCGGGTCGGATGGTCCGCAGAATATTATTTTATTTTATTGAATTATTTATTTCTCTTGTTTCTCTCCGCAGGTCGGAAAATCCGCAGGTCGGAAGGTCCGCAGGTCGGAAAGTCCGCATGTCAGAAAGTCCACAGGTCGGAAAGTCCGCAAATCGGATGGTCCGCAGGTCGGAAAGTTCGCAGATCGGAAAGTCCACAAGTCGGAAAGTCCGCAGATCGGATGGTCCGCAGGTCGAAAAGTCCGCAGATCGGATGGTCCGCAGGTCGGAAAGTCCGCAGGTCGAAAATTCTGCAGGTTGGATGGTCCACAGGTCAGAAGGTCCGCAGGTCGGGAGGTCCGCAGGTCGGGTGGTCCATAAGGCGGAAAGTCTGCGAGTCGGAAGGTTTACAAGTCGGGTAGTATGCAGGTCAGTTGGTCAGCGGGTCGGACGATCTGTAAGTCGGGAGGTTCGCGGCTGGACTAACAAGTCGGATGGTCTGTAAGTCGGGAGGTTTGCGGCTGGACTAACAAATTGGATGGTCTGCAAGTCGGGAGGTTTGCGGCTGGACCAATAAGTCAGAAGGTTTACGGCTGGACCAATAACGCGGAAGGTCTGCGGTCGGTCCAAGAAGTCGGAAGATTCGTGGATGGATAGGCAAATCGGTTGGTGCGGAGGTCGGATACTGTTGAGAGCGAGTGAAAGTAATAGTTTGGTCGGCTGAGGGCACGTGTCAGCAGAAAAAGAGTTAGCAGACGGTTGAAAAAAAGGCGTTGTAATCGTTCGGGCGACGGTTTCCAGTACCGTTTCTGAAGAGTATTTAAGGATTGGGATTTGCAACTGACAAAGTATCTTCAATCATCTTCAAACGACAGCAAAGTCAGTGATTCGGGGATCATCATTTAAATTTCCAGTATTTCACTTTTCAGTTTATTTTCTGTACCGTACAGTGTTTAGAGATTCCTAATCTCAGGCGCTAAATATATCAAATTCGAAGATAATTTCCTATTTTCGGATTTTACTTTTTTATTGTTGAAAAAATACATCAACAAATTGGCGACCACAGTGGGAGAAAGACAAGATTGCTGATCCTACATCAACAGAGAATTTCATACGACTGAGGTCTGGCCGAATCATCAGAAAGATCGATATGGCAGGCACACAACCTCAATCATCACCACTTCCGGTTGGAGAAAACGTTTCACCACCCGTCATGCCAAATCCAAGGGAGATCCCCCAACCACCTACCGATTGGTTGTCTTATGTTCAACAATTGAACAATCAGCAAACTTCGGCTATGCAGAACATGTTGCGCGAGCAACAGAACATCATGCAGTACATGTTAGAGCAAGCATTATCAAGGGTTACTCTCCAACCCACTCAGACGCCGCCAGGAGTATCACCATCAAGAATGGAAGCAAATTTCGCAGGACCATCATATGTCGACAGCACACTTTCAAGCGCCACAACGTTCAACCGAACAGACATGGGAAAGACTCCTTTAACTTTTCCTAATAATGTGCCTTTGGGACCAAGAGTTGACAATCTACAACCAAACGTTTTAAGGGAAGAGAGGCAAGGAGCACATGTATAAGATCCCATCTTCATCCCTGATCAACAACACCTTCGTGTGGATCCTGAAGAGATTGCGCAAGTTTTGAGAGTGCATTTTGGCCTGAATCCTCAGATGGCCAACCGCCCCTGCATATCAAAGGTCTTTCCCCGAAAGGATCATTAACGACTATCCACTTCCAAGGAATTATCGACCACCTGATTTCCATGCTTTTTCAGGGGAAGATGGATCCTCTACCATAGAGCATATAGATCGCTTTACAGCACAGTTAGGGGAAGTTGGAAATAATCCTTTTTATAAACTGCAATTATTTGGGTTATCCCTCACCAGAACAACTTTTTTATAGTTTGTAAACCTGCCACCTGGGCAAATACAAACTTGGGAATGACTGGAAATGGCATTCCATGCTAGATTCTTCAATCTTTTACGGACTGTTTCTCTTACCGATTTATTGGAATTGAAACAATATCCAGAAGAGTCAGCCTCACAGTTTATTGAAAGGGTGCGTTAGATGAAAGGACGTTGTCCTACTGTAATCAATGAAAAAGAAATGACCAACTTAGTGGTCAGGAACATGCATGGTCGCCTGAGAGAGGCGCTCACTGCCCATGATGTGGAAGATTTGGCTAGCCTTGCTTCCAAGGCTGGACGTTTGGAGTCTCTTTTTAGAGAAAAGGATCAGAATTTCAGGCGTAATAAAGTTCAGCATATGGCAAGTATGGAAACAGAAGCATACGACTTTGATTATGATCAAACAGAAGAGATGGCGGCCGAAATAATTTCAGGGAAGCCTTATGTGTACTCTAACTTAAAGCCAGTACCAGGAACTGAAGGAAAAGAGCAACCGACCTTTGACAATTCAAAGGCCGATGAGATTTTTGATATTTTGCTATCTGATGGTTAGATTCAAATTCCAAAGGGGCAAAGGTTGGCTACTAAGGAAGAAATCAAAGGGAAGCCGTACTGTAAGTGGCATAACTCTTTCGCACATAATACAAGCCAATGCACTCATTTTCGAAATGAGATCCAAAAGGCTATTAAGGCAGGTTGGCTCAAATATATTACTTTGGGAGTAGAGCAACAACCGTTTCCAAAAGTAACCAGAACAATGGTTAATATACAAGCAAGTTCCAGATCAGAAAAAAGGAATTCATCAAACAGTGGCCGACCAGAAGAGAAACTCAAGGTCTGTGAAAAAACAGTGGGTGAAAAATGGGATAACCAAGATGATTCTTTTAATATGGAATTAAAGGAGCAAGCTTTGGTTTGGGACCACCCGACTAGGAGAACGAGTTCAGTCGAAAGCAAATGGACTCGAAATAAGAAACCTTTACCAATTGATGTGGATCCTCGCTTCCCAAGCATGAATCATACTCAGATTCGGAATGCCAAGCGCAGGTATGCTGCGAGATACAGAGACAAGGTCGCTTCCTCGAGGCAACCGAATATGCAAGGCACTATTACTTCTCCGGAAGGAGGTCGGTCTATACGGGTCACCTCATCAAAGCAACCGGACAGCAGCCGAGGCACTGTTAAGTATACTGAAAGAGGTCGGTCCATCAGGGTCGTCTCATTTGAGCAGCCGAATAAGGCAGAAGAAGGTCGGCCCATAGGGGTTGCCTCGTCTAAGCAGCCAACCAGCATACGAGACACTACTAAGTACAATGAGGGAGGTCGGTCCATACAAAAGAAGAGTAGAAACGTGTCAGATGAAAGAGTTGAGGGTTTCAGATGTCAATATTGTGAGAGGATTAACATTAACCCATCTCTGTAGGAATTTCATTTGGAATCTCTGACAGTTCAACCTGAAATTGAAATCAGAGATGAAATTCCAGAGACTGTTTCAAGGTCGGTCAAATCTCGACTAGGGCCACGTATCCCCTGCCGAATGACAAAAATTAACTGGGTTGAAGAAGAGCCTTTGTGGGCAACTCTGGTGGATGAGTTTATAGAAGAACCAGAATGGGCAAAGATTTCAGATCCTCATTTTCAGTTAGAGGTTCCTCCAATAGTCTTCCCTCCCATTCCAGAAGGCACGGCGTCTCATTTGAAGCCTCTGTACGTTAATGCTCATATTTGTGGGAAACCAATCACAAAGGTTTTTATAGATAACGGAGCCGTCTTCAATGTAATGCCTTTAAAGACCCTCAAGAAGTTAGGGAAGGGAATTCACGATCTATCTCCTGTGGATTTTGAGATGACCAGCTTTACAGGGCAGCTGACCAGACCGGAAGGCATGATGGTCGCCTCAATTGAAGTCGGTCCAAAAAAGATTTCTTCTGTTTTCTTTGTGGTGGACGCAGACACTACATATTCAATCCTACTTAGACGAGACTGGATTCATGCATCTAAATGTGTGCCATCAACACTGCATCAACAATTAATGTTCTGGGAAGGCAATCAGGTCTTCAAAATGGAAGCAAATGACAATCCGTTTGG